TTGGACAATGGTCCATGGCTAACTTGTTAGTGCTAAGGGCTATAAAGCTGGGGATATCCCGCTTAAGGTCCCTTTGGATTCGATTGAGTTCTGGGTACAAGTACACAATATGTGCCGTATAGATATGCAAATCTTGGGAATTATCTTGGGGAATTTGTCAGGTGGGATGACAACATGTTTGATGAAAAATGGGAAGCTTACATGAGGGTTAGAGTTCGTATGGATGTAGGAAAACCCTTGAAAATTAGTACTTGTTGGGGTATATTACCCCAGCCCATTACTGTTCAGGGGCCCAAGACATCACCCCGGCATGGGGCCCAGTCAACGAGGCTCATTTAGGGCAATTTAGGCCCACACGGCCTACTTGGGCTTGCTTTGGCCCATTAAGGCCTTTCCGGCCCGATTAGACTAGAGGGTTTTCCCCTTCCCCCTTCTATAAATAGGGAGCAAGGCCTCCTATTTTAGGGATCCTCTTTCTCTTTTGGCTCTTCACTCCCCCCACAACTTTACTTTGTTTATTCTTTAGATTAGAGAAGTTCTCCACCTCCATTAATGGAGCTCAAAATATGTATTATGTAAATGGTGAGGAGAGCATATTAATGAGAAAGAGTGGGCTTGGACGTTAGCCTAAAAAGTCTCGTGGTTTCTCCCTTTCCAAGTTTCCATGTAAAAACAGCTTGTTCATACACTTCTATATTTTTTATTTACTTTTATACCAAACTCATCGTCCTCAATATCCAAAGTTTATGTTGGGCTTTCGGATATGCGGGATTAAAATCAAAAGTACTATAATTAGGAAAAGCAAAGGGAAAGGGTATTGGATTGACTTTAAATATGAAAAGCTCTCAAGTTTTTGTTTTGTTTGTGGAGTTATTGGACATGTGATAAGTCCGTATTTAGACACGCATTTGATGCGCGTTGGTATCGGCTTTTGATGGTTTTCTTACCTTTAAGGTGTTGCAAGTCTCAATTTTAGCTCAAGTTATGTTTACCAGGCGTTGGTTCGAGTTTTGTGTCATTTGGAGTCAAAATCTGGAATTTAGAGTTCGGCACCAGCGCTTGAGGAGCAATAGGGATGATTTGAGATTCATTCGAGAGTATATTGAGAGCTTTGGAGGTCACCGAGAGGTTTACGATGAAGATTTGATGACATGCAAAAGAGCTCTAGAATTGACTACAGGATCAAAAGAAGATGAATAGAGCTAGAAAACGGTGATCAGGATGACCTTCTGTCAATCATTCAAGCATATCTCTTTGTCGAAGCATCCAAAGGACACGATTCAAGTTTCATATGAAAGCCAACTTCAGGGGCTACAAATCATAGGAATACACCATTTTTGAGAATATGAGATGAGAAAGGTGAAAACAGACGATGAAGTCAGATGATCTCTGTTGCGATTTCAGAATGCGACCTTCCATCATTTTATTCATATCTCTTGATTGGACGATTCAAATCCAATTCGTCAAGTTGTGGTGGATCGAGCACTTCATTATCTACAACTTTCATGAAGGAAGTTCTGTCAAATTCGGAAGTTTGATGCACGCCGTGCGTAGGGGAACGCACGATCGTGCGTCCGTGGCGAGAAAGCAAGGAGGCTACTGCCAGCCACACACGGTCGTGCGTGGCAGGGGACGCACCATCGTGCGTACATACGAAACGCGGATTTCAGCCCCTTTTTAGTCCCAGTTCAACCTAAACTCATCTGTTTTCTATAAATAATATCTCCCTTCTCATGTTTAAGTGTTACGAACATTACAGAGAGGACTATGGACGAATTTTCTTGCGTTTTTATGATTGTTTACTCCAAGACCCTGGGATTATTTGTAAGTTTAATCTTTTTAATTAATGACAATTATTTCTATTTATCCCAATTCTGTTGATTCTTCAATTATGAATTGTGAGTAGTTTAATTAGGGATTTGGGGTTGATGAAGGGGTTGATCATGATGTATGGCTAGATTCTTGATGGTTTAATTACATGAATGTCGTTTGAATAATTTAACTGATATCTTTTGTAACCTGGAACCGCGGCTAGAATTATAATTGCTTATAGAATAAATTAAGAGAGATCTAGTTTATTGTGTCATAGATATATTCGTGACAAAGTTGAAAATAGATTTATTTTGTTTTAATTTGTTGTGGATAATATCTGTGACAAACTCCTTTGCTAATTTTTATCAAGGATATATTCCTTGACAAATCCGAACGACTAGTACGTATTTTTGTTAGGGACTTTGTCACAAAATAATCTCTGACAAAATTTGTTAGAGATTTTTCCGTGACAAACCTAGCTTGAGCGATATTTTATCAAGATTCCTAACAAAGCCCCGACAAGCTTGTTATGGGCGGTATCCCTGACTAATATAATATCTGTGACAAATGCTATGGAAAACAACCCATTTTTGATAAAAATTGAAGATTTTGAGAAGATAATTTGTAATTTTCTCTCCATACTGATTGAACATATGAATTGCTAGACTAAAATATATCACTCTTTAACTTATTTAAACACCTTTTTTAACCACTAATCAATCATTCTTTTAGAAAATCCTGAGTTGTTATATTAGTTGGTCCTATATCGTGGGGTTCTTGACTCTTGAGGAGAAGCAGAGAAGAGGGGTACACTTCTTGTAATTATTTCAAGTTATTTTTATATTCATGATCATTAGATAAATTTTGAAGAGAAGATCTAAGTGCAAGATAATTCCTAAGAGTTGGTACCAACTTGATTTTCCATTTGGCTGGTCTTTCCTCCAGTTGACCCTTGGTTATTTTTATTTACATAATTACATGCATGTATTGCCTTAAACGGCTAACTTCCTACGAGCGATTTCGTCATCTACGTGAAACGGTCTGCTCTTCATTCTAGACTTTTAGTTCAGACGCGAAGTTTCATCCTAAAAAGTCAACCTGATATGAGGAGTAGCGCAATAATTATACGGAGTATAATGTTTTACAGTTTTCCGATGTAAGACAAATACTTTAACACTTTTATTGCAGGTTGTCAAAAGAAGTATATTGAGGGGATCCCTTGTGTCTCAACACCAACTTTATGGCTCTCTGTTGGCGCCATTGATAAGTCTCACACCGGTAAATTGAGAAGCATTGGTGTCTTAACAGCCATTATTTGTTTTATTTGTATGAAATAATGATCTATGGTTGTATTATTTGAGCAGCCATGTTTATATACATACGATAGTATTTGTTAAGTATTTATTTCTTAGAATTGGAACTCTACGGCTAAGCTTATAATGTGAGACCTCATTCAGAATTATAATGTCCACACATACTATATATGTATCCACAAGTTAAATTGACCTTACAAATTGAATAACAAAAATAGTGTGACAGATTCTCACGGAGACATTTAAGGGAGAGGATTACGCACACCCACAAACATATGCATCAGCTTTGCATATAAGTAAAAACAAGTAAACTCAATTAATTAAGATTGTTAAAATTTACAACACTAGTTCAAAAAAACAATTACAAAAAAAAAATCATTAATACATCGATCAGAAGCTAAGATGGATAATTCTCAGAAGGCAAGTTACCATGCAGGTGAAGCCAAGGGTCAAGTGCAGGAGAAGACCAATCAAATGATGGACAAAGCCAGGGATACTGCAGACTCTGCAAAGCAATCTATGCAGGAGGTAATTTGTTACTCCGTATAAATTATACCCTTGCTTTTACTCTTTTCTCAGTTTTCGATCGTCACCCATAAACTCGTTGGCAGATCCATATAAAGTTTTTTATACTTTTACCGAAGTAGTTTTAAGACTTTTAACAAAAAAATTAACATGTTGTGTAATTTTCATATTTTAAATAATTTTGTTTTAAAAGATATCAGTGGTCTAACTCGATTATCATTGATCAAGAAAAGTCAATATAATCAAGTTTTATGGGACATATGAAGTATTTTTCGCACAAAATTATGAATCTTATGATGTTACTACTCCAATTTTTTATATAAATTTTTATTTAAATAAACTTAGCCCCCTCCTTAATGGAATTTTCAAGGTTCCGCTCTTCCAAAAAAAATCATGGTTTCGCCCCTGTTCGAATGATGTTAATATGCCCATTCTATTTAGTAAAGCGGATTGTTTTTTTTTAAGAATTAAAGCGAATTGTTTTGCTCTGGGAATTAATCTTTCTTGTATTAATTGATTGAAAATATGCAGACTGGGCAGCAGATAGCTGCTAAGGCACAGGGAGCCGCGGACGGGATGAAGGATGCAATGGGAATGAACAAATGAAGTCTTATATATATGCATGGATCGAACTCACTTTTATAAATTACTTTATTTGAACTTTTTTTATTTGAGTAGTGCGTTAGATCACCAAAATTAGAATAAATTTTGATGTCATAAAAATGGATGATTTTTTTATCAATGAATCACGTCTGGAATAAATATGTTTTAAAGACATAAGCACATCGTTTTTGTTGAGTTTCTGATAATTGCCAATTATTGTCACTGGACTAGACTTGAATGTGTAGTGATTTTTTTTACTTAGTATTCTTATTATAACTAGTACTAGTGTATCTGCGTTTTGCATGGATTATGAAATGAAATGTGATTTTTTATGGTGTTGTACAATTAACTACAATTACTAATATATGGAATATAATTGAATTTTTAGTGAAACTAATAAAATACTTGTACGATTAGCTAAAGGAAAAGAAAGGAATGATAAATTTTTGCCAAATGACTTACAATAAACTTTGGAAGGGTATATAAAACCCAATCCAACAAAGAACTACCCCTCCTTGTCAACTCAAACTCATGAGCAACTCTATTCGTTACTCGCTTACCATGTCTTACCTCGAAATAAGAATTACCACTCATCAAAAATCTAATATCCTCTAAAATAATACGTATAAAAATAAGAGTAATGTGATTCCGCTTAAACCCCCGAAATAACCACCAAAGCATTTGTTTCGAACACTGCCCGATTTTTTTAACCCGGTAGGCAAATCATCAAAATCAGTTAGGTAAATACCGGGGAACATTTACCATATTTTATTAGGAAAAGAAAAATTGCATACATCAAGAGTGGGACCAAACCAAACCTCTTACCAAAACATACGAAAACAATAGATCAAATTACAATAATCGAAGAGAAGGAATACCAAAAAATAAAGTCCATCCAATAGGCCCGCTTAGCTAAATTCGGGAGGTGATTTAGCTTGTTTTATTTATAATATATGCTTATCTAACTTGGGCTTGAGAAAGGAAATGAGCTGCACAATTCCCTTCCCTCTTTGTATGACCAAATCCAATCTAATTTCTTGAATGATGACCATCCATTTCCTCGACTGCTTAATTACCTTCAAAATACTCCCACGCCATGGCAGAATCAGTTTCAACCAAGAAGCCCGTGTGACCTTCCTCAACCGCCCATCGGATCGCTTCAGCTATAGCAAGGACCTCTGCCACCAAGCACCTATCATCGCACCATCTCGATTCCTCCGTTTGCACAGCCACATAAGAGAAATTGGGAAAAGGGGCAAATAAGCCCATGTACTTACCAAAAAAGGTTAAATAAGCCCATATTTGGGAGGCTCTGTCCGGCCGTCGCCATTTCGGACGGTTCCTGGTGAAATTTTTTGATGAAATTTTTTTATCATCTTATTCATTGAGTCTAGTTTATTCATACCAAATTTTAGCTAACAATTCAATGAGGAAGACATTCAAATTTATTCTTGAAGATAACTGCGTTTTTAACTGCACCGTTATTTTCAAGAATTCATTTGAATGTCTTTCCGATTGACTTTTAAACTGAATTTTGGTATGAATAAACTAGACTGAAGGAATAAGATGTTCAAACAATTTCATCAAAAAAATCCACCGCGAACCACCCCAAATGGCGGCGGCCGGACAGAAACTCGCGTCTACACTGCCGCCCGATTTCTTGTGTCCGCTGAACCGCCTTCCTAAGTACCAATGCTTCAACTTCCTTTGGAGTCCAAGTAGCTATTGACATCCTCCCGCTATAATCCTACCTTCCTCGATCATCCCGAGCCAGCCAACCCCATGCCCTCACACTCCTACGCTCGTCAGCAGCCGCATTCACATTAACCTTTATCCAACCCGCATCCGTTTCTTCCACCCTTCACTCTGTTGAACTGCTAAATTGCCGCTATTCTCTCTGGTTGTTCCGCTCCTTTCCAACCACGTAAAGAGGATGGTGCAGAATTCACAACACAGCTTGCCTCAAACTCCACTCCTTTCCATAACTTATCATTCCTTTGTTTTCACACACACCCATACACCATAATAAATTTGCAGCAATTCTCCACTCTCAATGCCTCAAATAAATACTTTACCCACTCATAAAAACATTGTGCCCTCACCTGGAAACAAGCACCCAGAAGCTGCCAAACAGATTTACTTAGTCACAATCACAAAACAAATGCAACAAATTTTTGCCATCCCTGCCACACACGCTACAAATATCAGTAACTTCCACTCCTCTTTCTCTCAGCTTAGCCACCATAGGGACATTCTGAGACATAAGCTGCCAGAAAAATAACTTCACTTTTGGAAGAATAACAAACCTCCACATACGGGTCTAGTCCACCCCACCTCCTCAGTTGATATTCTCTAACTAACAAATGATTACAACTTTTCACCGAGTAGTGCCCCTTTTCTTCTCCCACCCAATAAAAACCATCCTCCATCGGCCTCAAGCTAATCGAAGTGCTCAAAATTTTATCACAGTCCTCCTTATTAAAAATACCCCTAACTCGTCCCGCATTCCAATCACACCTATCCTCCCTCAATAAGGCTGCCACATTCATATTACTTATCCTGGGTGGCCTTGTTGAGGGCTTGAGGCAGATCTCCATCTCATTCCCAGCCCAACGTCTCATCCCTTTTTGATAATATCCTGGGTTGCAAAAATGCTCCTCCACACAAATGAGGGGTTACTACCCAACTGGGCATACTCATAAGAAGTATTCAAAAAAAAACCACGCTTTAAAAACATGGCCAACTAACGAACCTGATTCTCTAATGAAACACCTTGATTGTTTCCCAAGCATGGCTAACGTAAACTCTATTAATTTTCTAAAACCTAGACCATGTGCCATCTTGGGTGCACACAACTTACTCAATGACTGTCACGTAATGCCTCTCCGCACTAAATTCCCACCCTCCGCCAATAACTATTCATGATAACCTCTATTTCATCACACAACTTTATAGGTAAAAGAAAAATATTCGTCGCATATGAAGACATCGCTTGAATGACGGATTTAAGTAAAACCAAATCCCTCTTTTGACCTAAACTTACCATTCCAACTTAATAGTCGCTTCAAAATCCACTCTCTCAAGAAATCCAAAATCTCCTTTTTGTGGCCCACAAGTGCTGGCAACCCCAAATATTTAGCCTAAGCACCCTCTTGATTTTCACCTAGACACTTGTTGAACGCTTGTTTGAGACCAGCACTAACATTAGCATTGAGAATAACGCTCAATTTACCCCAATTAATTACCTGACCCTACTCTTTTTTGTATTGAAGTAGAGTATATGTAATAACATTCCATTCCTAAATTCTGGCTTTAAAAATAAAAAAACTGTCAACGAAAAAAAGGTGAGAAATACATGGTGCACCCTTCGTCACAACAACTTCGCGAATCCTACCACTAGCTTCCTGCTTAGCTAGCATCAAACTCAAGTCTTCAGCTACTAGAACAAATAAATAAGGATACAAGGGGTCTCCTTGCCTTAAACCCTGTGACAACAATATAGGACCTATCATGTCTTTCTCAAAAGGAATAAAATAACTTACTAAAGACACACATGCCATAATCCATCTTACCCATCTTTCATCATATCCCAACCTCAACATCATATCACTCAAAAAGTTCCATTCCACCTGATCATAAGCTTTTCTCATATCAAGCTTTTATGTAACAAAACCCTCTTTCCCATATCATTTTAATGCTACCAAAATATTATAAAAAATGGAGCACTCCGGCAGAAAAGCACTTTGATTTTCTAAGACGATATATTGTTCATCATTCCTTTTGTACGATTCGCCAGAACCTTTGTAAAAATCTTATAAATAACATTAAACAAAGCAATGAGTCTCCAATCCCCTAATTCCTTAGGCCTCTCCTTTTTTCTATCAATACCAAATTAGTCACATTCAACTCCTTCGGCACCGCTCCTCTTTGAAAAGTTTGCTGGCAGAAGTTCACTACCTCTGGCCCAACTATATCCCAGAAATGTTGATAAACCCACGAAGTCATCGCGTTAGGTCTTGGTGCTTTTTCTGGGTGCATTGCAAACAAAGCTTTCTTCACTTCATTTAGACAGATTGGTCGTAATAGTTGTCTATTTTGTTCTCTAGCAAACCTAACCGTGTTCATATGTGTTTGTCCTTCTTGATCATATATGCTCTGAAGCACTAAACAGCTCCTTAAAATAATTATCAACTATCACCCAAACTCTTCTTTTGAAACCTCCCATTCCCCTATCCTATTTTGGAGTCCCACCACTTGGTTGTGCCTCCTTTGTTGCCTAAATGTGTTATGGAAGTACTTTGTGTTAATATTCCCCTCACGAACCAATACTCTCCCTTTTCTCAATTAAGCTTCCTGTCAATCCTCTACTTTTAAAATCAATCAGCACCATCATCATATGTATTACCAGTATTTCAAGAGTGCGAGACCATAATAATAGAAGATGAAGAATGGTAGTATAATGAGAACCCCAAAGTGTAGCTCTTGGTCGAGCTAGGGAGCATTCCTGGTTCACACCTCTTCTATCTGTCTGAACTCATCTTTTCTATTGCAACAAGCTTTAACCATGCTAGTAATCATACTAAAAAAATCAAAGAAATCACTCGCAAAGCGATTAACCGATGACACTGAGACAACAATCAATTACAACTGATGAGCAAAACAATGTATGTATCTAGCAAATGAATATTCATTGAAAATGAGAGTTTTCAGACCATTAAGCTCACCACGCATATTCGATGCACCATCATACCCATGACCACGTAATTTAGAAACCGACAATCATGTTTGGCAAAGAAATCATCTATGGCACATTTCAAAAGAAATAGCAGTAATATCAACAACATAAATAAGGCCATAAAAATGTTTCATCATTGCTTCATTATCATTCACAAATATGACAACTGACATTCATGTCATTTCCATATTTAAATTTGTGTTTTTAATTAGTTTAGAGTGATTGTTACTTTGGAAATTACACACTTTTGGTGTAATAGTTTAGTTTGTAAAATATTTGTAATATGTTTAGATTAGGTTTATTCTAGGCTCAAACAGGTCCAAGAACACTTTGGAGACCATTGGTGAACATCACAAGTGCAAGGAAGGTGCAAAAATACAAGAAAAAAAGTGAAGATCTCGTTTTTGGTCTGTACCCGGTCGGGTATGACCTATACCCGGTCGGGTACCCTTCTGAAAAATCGAATCAAATCAAATCCGGGAACAAGGCATCATGCGGGAAGATTTTAACACGTTCGGGTGTCCATACCCGATCGGGTGACCGACAGGCCCGATCGGGTATGGCCTTATTTTTCACTTCCGGGAAGCTTCTTAATGTACCCGATCGGGAACCTCCTATACCTGCTCGGGTACACAACCCTGCATGCTCTATTTTCCTATAAATAGACCCCTTTCCTTCCCACAAAAGATCACCAATTCACATATACTTCTAAGCTCAGTCTAGACAAGTTCTTTCTTTATATTTTCTTCATGTTTAGTCTCCAAATGAGGAGCTAAACCCTTCCATCTTGGTTTTGCTACTTTGAAGCTTAATGAATTGTAAGTTGTGAGTTATTTTCTTTAATCTTCTTCTTTGAATATTAACTAATTCCTATTCCTATTACATATTAATATTTTGAGCATTACTTAAAGGATCAACTAGTTTTGTTTCATATATTAATTAGTACTAGAATCGGTCGATTAGTTCGCTTGTTATTAATTCGATCCTTTCACGGTAGTAAACTTGGGTTGTTAATGCATGCATCTCATGGTTAATAACCTAAGGGGAATTAATTATATTGATTAAACCGATAATACCGCTTGTGTTGAGGTTATCAATCTCAATCGTTTTCATCTCTATTTTATTGCTACTATCGAGTGAATATATGGCGCGTGTTCTATATTAACTCGGTAGTAAGTTTTATTAATGAATGCGTCTCGTTATTAATAACTACCCTCGATGAACTTGATATACTCCTCGATTGAGTATTCGAGAGGAAGATAGTTAAAGATATAACCGGGATCGACGAACATTTCATTAAGTGGATAAAAGCAAAGCCAAGTCTTCTTCTCATTAATTAAACCATATAACTCGTTCATCTTCGTGCTTAAATATAATTTAAGTTCATCAACCAAATATAAAATCCCCCTGTTATTACTTATTTATTTCTATAAAAAAGAGAAGTGTTCCTTTCCCTGTGGATACGAACCTTACTTCATTATACTACGTATAATTGTTGTATTGAATATTATTTTGAGTGCACACCACGACAAAGTGCACGTCAACAACAATAGTCATTTTCTCTTTCATAAATGAATCACGAGCCTCATCAACTAATAGAAAAAAATAGGGAAAACTGTCAAATAGGTCCTCGAACTTTCATAAAAAAGTCAATTAAGTCCTTCTATAGGAGACTCTGTCCGGTCGTCACGATTTGGGGCGGTTCCCGGTGGAATTTTTTGATGAAATTTTTTTAGCATCTTATTCATCAAGTCTAGTTTACTCATATCAAATTTCAGCTAAAAATTTAATCGGGAGCGCATTCAAATTAATTCGAGAACGCAAAAATGCACAGTTATCTTCAAGAATTAATTTGAATGTGTTCCCGATTGAATTTTTAGCTGAAATTTGGTATGAGTAAAATAGACTTGGTGAATAAGATGCTCAAAAAGTTTCATCAAAAAATTCCACCGGGAACTGCCCCAAATCGCGACGGCCGGACAGAACCTCCTATAGAAGGACTTAATTGACCTTTATATGAAAGTTCGAGGACCTATTTGACAGTTTTCCCAAAAAAATATTATAATCCAGCCGCACTTATTACTTTCTCAACTTACCTCCCTTTAATTACTTTCATTTCTTATAAATTTTTCTTTTTCATCTCTTTTTACTCAAATTATTTTATTTAATTACTTGCCTAAAAAATTGTGTCATTTATTCACGGGACCTTGACTGTCATTTAGCGTGGCTTGGGTGCACACGACTATCACCTAAATTTGTACTCCGTAGTTTTAAGGAAAACTGTCAATTTGGTTCTCGTAATTTTATGAAAAGTCAATTAGGTCCTCGTACTTTTAAAAAGATCAATCAAATCCCCAAACTTTGTAAAAACGTTCAATTGAGTCCATTTATAGGTTATTTGCCATGTTAACATGTCACCCGCTGACGTGGTGCGTATGTGGCATCCCAATCAGCAATAATTATGCTGATGTGACACAAATGTGGAAGTCTAGTCAGCCATTTGTCAATGACGTTGCGCACACATCGCCAACGTCAACATGTGACCTGCTGACATGACAAGTAATCTACAATTGAACTTGATTGAACATTTTTACAAAGTTTGAAAATTTGATTCTTATTTTTATAAAATTAGGAGGATATTTTTTTATGAAAGTATAAGGACAGTTTTCTCTGGTTTTAATGACCAAACAAAGAAATGGAGGGGAGGGAAGCAATGCTGTGTTAGTTATTGCAGTAACCAGCAATGGCGGGGCTGCTAGCTTGGGCAGCAGATGTGGTCGGAAAGAGCGGACACAACAACGAAGACGACGACGATCCAAATTCCATCCCCTTGATCCTCACTGCCGAACAGCAGGCCTACGTCCAAGAGCTGAATCGCAAAGCCGCATCTCTTAGCCGCGCGATCCAGGATTTACGCCTCAGACTTCCACCTCCGGACATCTCCGAACGCCTTCCCCACCTCCATGCCCACTCTCTCGCATCCAACGCCGCCCTTGCTCTCCAACTCAATGCCCACTCCACCACCAAAGAACAGGTTTTGTATATCTTTCATCAATTCCTTGCCCCGTCGATCTAATTTTCCGCATGTCTAGCCCCCTTGCGTCTCCTTTTTGGCCATATAATCCACTTTTTTCGCTGGAGTTCTTCTGAATGCTTACTGCAAGCTGGTAGCAACTGATTTAGAAAATTAGAAGTTTGAGATTTTTTAATGGAATTGAATTTTTTTTGGTCTTTGCACATGTACTTTGGTCTGTTTCAGGTGTCCTTTACTATTAAACAAGTCTGGTCCATCCAATTGAAATTATACTTAAAACAGCTTAGATATGCTCATATGCACTTAGATGCTGGAGAATACAAGTTTAGAGTGATTGATTTAGGGTTAAATGCTGATGATATAGAAATTGTGGTGTTTATTTCTTAAATTTCGGTCAATCACTGTTTTTCTCTTCTGCTTCTAAACTTCGATGTTTCTCTTCTAATGGCAGGCACAACTTAGAGGAGTTACACTGCAAGAAGAAAATGCTGAATATGAGAAGGCTATTTCAAATTGCAAAAGCAAAATTGGAGAGAAGTTGCAGGAAGCAGACACACTTCAAATTAAGTTAAAGGTTAGAGATATGCATAATTCTAGGAATACTTATGAATAAGGTTAGGTAGGTACACTGTACACGAACGTTGCATCTTGGAAATTGCATCTAGATTGTACAATATCTTCGTAGGAGCAGTCCTAAGGCATGCATTAGTGACTAATCATTTTTTCTCTGAATAATAAACATTACGGAGTAGTTCATAGTCTACTAAAAAAGTATTTGGTTCTCAGTTATTCTTTCAGAAGTGTAGAGTCTCCCACATATTACCTCTTTTCCCCTGCGGTTTGTTTGGGAGTTGGGAGTACAAAAATGCATTACTATTTTTCATTATCGTAATTGTCAAATCATACATTTATGAGCATAAACAATGTATAGTTCTCCAAATAAATAAATAATATTTCTCCCCTCTTTTCCTTCTAAACACCCCTCCCAAATATACCCTTAGAGATGATCCAAGGATCTGATTAGTCTAGTTCTCCCTTAGTCTAGCTCATTACTATTGTACAGTCTGCAGCAAAATACTCCATACTTTATACTTCCTGATGTATTTTTGTGATTCCAAAATGACATGTACTCTTTAACATTTCTGATTGCTCTAAAGGAAATGGATTTGGCAGAAGAAAACCTGAGATCAGAGTTAGAAAGTGTGCAAACTGAAGTGTCCAGCCAGTCCATAAAATCAAATGAAGCCGTTATTAACTCTAATGTTATGGCAGGAGATGGTACAGAGTTTTCAAAATCCATGGCAGTGGAGAAATTAGAGAACAAGAAAAAGGAACTGGTTAGAAACTTGTCTGCATTTACCTTATGAGCATTACTATCAATCATTCTTTTTCTTCCACATTTAGCCTATTTAGCTTTATCTTGATTGCTAATGCTATTTTATCATTATAGGCATCAGTGGAAAAACTCGTTCAAGACCTCGAGAGAGAGTGGGAACAAGTTCAGGATTATGCGATAAAACAACCGTCTGCAGGTACTTCATCATAGATACAGTATTTCCCCTTTTTCTGTTTGATTTTAGTATGGGGTCACAGAAAACTCTTTAGAGAGTGGGGGGGAATACTGAGGGAGCTTTTTTAGGATATAGAAATTTCACATTTGTTTTGATTTCATACTCACTATATAATAGATATACAATTATAAATATATAGCATGAGTATGTAAAAATATGTACTATGTAGTATAAATTAATCCGTACTTGAGTTTTAGCCTATTATTTATCCCCCCAACATTTTTCTTTCCTTAGTTTTGCTCAAGTCTTTTTCTGCCTATCTACTTTTTCCCTTTTTCTTAGTTCCAGATGCCCCCTAGACACGCTTCCTTGTTTTCTGCAGTCCTCTAGTTCCTTGATGCTGTGTTATAGTTTAATGCTATGGATTCTTTCAGCTCAGCGTGAGAAAATACTGAACAAACAGCTTCATAGCCTGATTGAACAGCTTGCTGCTAAACAGGTAATATGTTAACTCATAAGTTCATATCTCTTCTCTGCTGGTAACTGTTGATGAAGAACTTTGTTCCTCAACTGACCTGAGTTGTTCCATTGGTTTGAACTTGGGAACAAAACTTCTCTGTCGTAGGACCACTGGCAGTTTATCAGTTCTTAACTTCAGGGACCGCATGATTATTCAGGCAGAAAGGTCCCGGACACCTGCGGTTATAAAAATATATTGAATCCTGTTGCTCAATCCCCCCCCCCTCTTTTAGGCACAAGCAGAAGACTTAGTCAATGAGATTCATACACAAGAAATGAAGCTAGAAGGATTGAATGGCCTTCAGCGGAGGTCTGTGACTAGCAACACAGACATGATTAATGCAAGGAGCAGGTATGGAAGAAACAGCTTTGACAGAGGACACGTGTCAGATTACATCGTTGACCCTCGTCAGAAACCCCCTTCATATCAGGACGCTGGCCGAACTGAGAGCATTCCGAAGCAAGTTTTGCTAAGGGCAGCTTTTGTTGTTTATATTTTCGCTCTACATATCTTGGTTTTCATCAAAATTTCATTTTGAAAAGTGATGTACTGCCAAATGCATAAAGCATGCTCATAACAAAACAGAAGGCTTTGTCATGAATTGGTTGTTTACGAACTTGTAATCTATAGTACATAAATTTAAAAACTTTACACATTAAGTGATTAGAACTTCTAACAAATTTGTTTGAGCTATAAAAAAAATCACTTGTGAGTTGTGATAGCATAGCATTTGAAATGTGATAGTTTTCGAAGAAAAAGTTTGAGGTTTTAGCTGCGGAGTCATACGTCTCAGGGCAGTGAGCTCCTGAGACTGTCTCAATGAGTCTTTGTTTGGTTAAGGTTAAATAGGGAAGAAAGAAAAGAGAAAATGAAGAATGTTGTTTGGTAAGAAGACAAATGGGGAGCAAACAAATGAAATGGTGTGTCCAGCCTTCCTTTTTTTCTTTTTATGGTGAGAAGTAGGAGATAATAAGTCTACTCCCAATTTCTACGAGGTTCCGATCCAATATTCTCTTACGAAACAGTAAACAAAATCTGCCATTTTTTGCACTATTTCTCTCATATTTCTATCTTTCTCACACATTACTCACATTCTCCTATCTTTCATGGATCCGGCATCTCTTCCTGGATTAAGCAGACTAGGAGGGTGCCTGGCTATTTTAAGCCCTCAGATCAAAAAACTGATGGTTGGAGATGAAGGGTCCCACTTTTTACACCAATCTCGAGGTGTGAGTTTTAATTCCTGCCATTGATTTGAGCAAGGCACTCTGCCTTAAGGCAGAGGATCCAATTCCTGGACTTCTTAAAGACGAGCAAAATCCTGGACTTTATATTAATATTAATATTAATAGAATAATACTCCATAATAAGACCGTAATAAGTTGTAAGCGTGCATAGTACTCCGGTACTCCCTCCGTCCCAATTTGTTTTGCATAAGTCAACATTTTTTGGTCAACCAATAATAAAAGTCAACTCTCCTTATGAATAATTAATTCAATTTTTAATAATTAAAATTTATATATTCAAAAACTACATTAAAATCTCTTTAAAGTTGTAAACTCCAAATTAGAAAATAATTAAAAATTGACATCCTAATTAAGTGAACAAAACGAGAAAATTTGACTAAGAAAAGTCAAATTTGGAACTCTTTTTGGGACGGAGGCAGTAAATCATTCACGAAAACTTCTAATAAAACTGGCTAAATTTTCATTGCTGTGACATGATCCTTAAGACGTTAAGGTTAGTCTCAGTCTCTCGAACAAAATTATGAATTGTATGTGTGAATGTACTTAGTGTTGAAATCATGATGATAGCATCTTTACTATGAGCACAAATTTAATTTTTTAACTTTGTAATAAAAGTCGTGATAACCTGGTCGATAGTCATAGGTTCTCCGAAGTAAACTTGTATCCCTTTTCCTCAAACAGGACTAATTTTTTCCCTCCTTGATGTTCTTCACAAATGCCTATAGTCCGAATAATTACCGCATGGCATGTTGAGCATGAATACAAAAATGAAGTGAAGAGGCCCGGGGGCACATGACCCAACATAAGCTAAGACTTCTTAAAGACGAGCAAAATCCAAAACTTTATATTAATATAAATAGAATAAGGGAAAAGGGTCAAATAGGCCTTCGAACTTACATAAAAAGGTCAAATAAGCCCTTATATAGGCCTTCGAGCTCTGTCCGGCCGTCACCATTTGGCGCAGTTCCCGATGGAATTTTTTGAGCATCTTATTCATTAAGTCTAGTTTACTCATACCAAATTTCAGCTAACAATTCAATCAGGAAGGCATTCAAATGAAATCTTGAAGATAACTACGCAGTTAAAAGTGCAGTTATCTTCAAGAATTCATTTGAATGTCTTCCCGATTGAGTTATTAGCTGAAATTTGGTATGAGTAAACTAGACTTAATGAATAAGATGCTCAAAAAATTTCATCAAAAAAATCCATCGGGAACAGCCCCAAATGGCGATGACCGGGCAGAGCCTCCTATATAAGAGCTTATTTGACTTTTTTATGTAAATTCGAGAGCCTATCTGACTCTGTTCCTATAGAAAAATAATAAATTGTAAGCCTGCATAATAAATCATTCACAAAACCTGTAATAAAACTGGCAAAATTTTCATTGATGTGACATAAACCTTAAGACGTTAAGGTTAGTCACAGTCTCTCGAACAAAATCATGAATTGTGTGTGTGAGTGTACTGTACTACTGTAGTGTTGAAGTCATGACGATAGCATCTTTACTATGAGCACAAATTATAATTCTTTAACCTGGTAATAAAAGTCGTGATAACCTCGTATATAGTCATAGGTTCTCCGAAGTAAATTTGTATCCCTTTTCCTGAAACAGGACTAATTTTTCCCTTTGGTGTTCTTCATAAATGCCTATAGTCCGAATAATTGCTGCATGGCATGTTGAGCATGAATACAAAAATGAAGTGAAGAGACCCAGGGGCACACGACCCCCACCCCACCCAAAATTATATGTGTAAAAAATTACTTTGGCCCCCAAAAAATAAGTAATTATAAGCCCCAGTCAATGTTAATTTCCTGGTTTCATGCTTCCATCACTGGTCCGCAATGATGCTTCTGCCGTGAGGTTCAGATAAGATCATTTTCTGGAGTCTGTTTTACACCACATGTGAATAGTTGTGGACAGCCAAAAGGAGCACATCCACACAAAATAATGGATGAGCTTTTCTAAATAACTTTAAAAGTGTTTTTTTTTCAAGAATAGTGTTACTAGAAGTTGGATAATCACATATTCACAACTCAGAACTCAAGGGGCTTCGGTGCTGATGAGCTTGTCAGATATGTGAACTCTGGCGAATAAGAGGAAAGGAGGAAGTGGGAAACCACCTGAAGGACTACAAGGAAAGAATACTTGGAGAAATTAAAATTATTTAGATATTTCTTCAAACTCGTTTTGAAATTCTTACAACTATACATACTGACAAATTATTTTTAAAAAAGATCCAAGTAAATTTCGCAAATCCGAAATTAGGCTTTAAATAGGGGTGTGGGCATACAAAAATTCATGAATATCCTTAAAAAATGAAACCAATTCACAAGTCTTCAGACAGTGAATATACTTCTATCTCAGAAGTGATCTTGTCAAACGAATCTATAAGTGATCATGATCTATAAGTGATCTTGAGAAGTGATCAAACTTCAGACAATGAATATACTTCATCTATCTGAGAAGTGATCTTGTCAAATGTTCACGTGCAGTTGCCAATGCTTGAGATATCGTCTGGAAAATTCAAGTATAACAGCAGTTAGAACAATATTAAATCAACCCTATCCGGCTATCTCGTTTGCAAGAGTTTGATGCATACTTTCCTAAGAGCCCTTTTAACTATCAACCAGTTTCAAAAAACGATCTTTGTGGCCTCATTATGGACAGATGTACTCATAACTACTCATAAGAAAAGAGACAGAAAAACTTCCCTTTTAACTAATTTTAATATTTTACAACATGGGTCAGTTGGGTAAATCAAGTGTCTAAATTAGGCGTAAGACTTCAGGAGACCAGCATACTGTCTGGCGGAAGACATGTCCCTTTTACAACATTGATGTCAAACAAAGCATAATTTGTATACATTTTTTCACATAAATTAAATACAATATATAGTTTACCTGTTCAGACAAGGATGTCCCATCATCCACATTGTGACTAGCGACTTTTAAAGCAATGACATTACCATCAGTTTCAAGAACCATCCTGCCAGACAAATAATCCTAGATTAAGATGAGTTTATATCACCCAAAGAGGAAGGGATTCATGAAACCCAAGCATTATATGCAGATCAAATGCCAGCTCACCCTCCATCAACAATCTCATCAAGGCACAAAAAGATCAGATCTAAGTTTTCAAGCGCCTCCCGGTGGTCAACATTGTTCCTGAAACAGTCAAATGTGAGTGAGTGAGTCAGTGAGTGTGTAATCAGTGGTCTGATCACGCCCTAAGATAGTTATGTAACTACTCAGTGATCAATAATACCTGAGAAGAACTGTCACTGCTTCGTGAAAACCTTGGAGAACAGTTGCTAAAACCAGCTCATTTTCATCATCAGCTCCAGTTACAAAGAAGTGAAGATCTTGAACAAACTTGAAGATAATGATATTGTTCTCAAGCAGTGTTATGTCCGCTAGCAGATTTAGTAAACAGTATTAATTGAATGCATTTGTGGTATCTAGGGATACATGCAATGAGGATATATTTCTGTTCTCCCAGAGAGTACTCTAAGCAAAGTATTAACGTATGTAAACAAATTAGGAAAGAAACTTTTCAAGTGATTATTAATAGCAAGTCCACTGGGATCCTAAAATGGCTTTCTACTTATATATAGGAGTTTAGGTATATCAAATAATACCCTAAAGTTGAAGTCCTTAAGCTTTACAGGACCTTCAGAATTGATCACCCCCACTGCTCATAATTCATAAATATTCTACAATTTTAAGTCTTCTACAGTTCTACACTTTGTCTGTTATGGTATTTATTTTTTATTTCATAGTTTTACTATTGTTAAGGGGGTGTGCAATATTACACATTGTTGGAGTATGCAATATTACACATTGTTAAAGAACAACCAACCAAACAAACAAATTAATTTTGATTACCTTCACTGCGAGCATTTGTCTTTTGAGTTTTTGTAAAGACAGACTTCTCAAAGGCGAGCTTAGCACTGTCTGTAGGCCAATCATCACAGTAGTACTTAACTGCAACACGCTTTCCTTCTGAGTCCAATAGAAGTATATTTTTTACGACAGGGCAACAATCCTATAACAAGATCATCATTAATTTATCATCATCAACAACATTTGAGCACAATGTACAATCTAAGTCACATGGATCGAATGAGAGAGGAAAAAATTGAAGACTCAATCTGGTGTCTTGCAGTATAGTCATTTCAAAAGTAACATGCTCATGTAAAAACTCACAAATTCATACGGACAGGAAATAGAAAATGAAAAAGCTTGATCCAAGTCACATGGATCAAACTAGAGAGGGGAAAATGGAAGACTCGATCCGGTGTTTTGCAGTATAGTCATTTCAAAGTAGCATGCTCATTTAAAAACTCACAAATTCATACGGACAGGAATTCGAAAATGAAAAGGCTTGATCCAAGTCACATGGATCGGACGAGAGAGGAAAAAATTGAAGACTCAGTCAGGAGTTTTGCAGTATAGTCATTTCGAAAGTAGCATGCTCATGTA